GTCTAGGCAAGCTAGCAAAGCCAACATAAGCCGTTGTACTCTCACACGCCCCCCCCTCAAAGCTGGGTGGCGTGAGATAAACCCTGCTTGACAAGATAGTCTTTGAGAGCACGACCTGCGTTGCCCATATCAGCTTCTGCAACCCAACTGTCCTCAGTGAGGTCATATCCCTTCCAGCGCATCAGGAACTCGAGGGTCTTGCCGCCACGGCGCCGATGAGTGAGAACGCGCTCTACTTCGTACTCAGGTTCATCCTGTATGAGAACAGGTGGAGGTGGCAGTAGCTGTCGTCCCTGGAACTGGTGGTTGGGGTCCTTGTAGGGCTTCAGTAGCTGAAAATGGAAAGCGACGTGAAGCTTCCAAGTAGTAGGTAAGCGCAAGCGGAATGTTACTGGTGTCATATGTGCCTCAACGAGAAAAGGACCACAGAAGCGAGGCCGGAGCTTAGATGGTAGTGATCCATGGATGCCGAGAGAGTTAGATAGGGTCGAAAAAGTTGCACTAGGAAGAAAATGCCGAGGTACAAAAGAGAGAGGGTTGGAAGCCCTAATTGAACCTAGGGTGTGTTCGGTTTGTACTGAGAACTATGAAATGAACCTAAAATTAACCTGAATGCGTAAATCTCTCTAAGCATGGAGAAATAATATAAGAACACCAAAATAAAGACCAGAGCGAGCTCTAGCCTACTCCAACACACCCCCAGGCTAGGTGAAGCTTTGGAGCAAAAAACCTAGTGAACCGGCACACCCCCAGAAGTGGAGAGACGCGTGAGCCCAAGCTCGCGCACGTAGAGATGGTGTGGTGCACGCAGGAGGACCTTGGTGAAAATGTTAGCAAGGTTGGCAGAAGCGTCCACCTTGCAAAGACGTAAGAAGCGAGGCTGCACCAGCTTGCGCACGAAGAAATAGCGGACCTTAATATGCTTGTTGTAGGTATGATAGATAGGATTTTCAGTGAGATGAATCATACTTACACTATCACAGGAGAGCGTTACAGAAGACTGCGAGTGACCAAGCTCAGCAAGGAGAAAGGAGAGCCAGCGAGCCTCCTGAGCTGCCAAGGTGCCTGCGTACAACTCAGCCTCGCAGGTGGAAAGGCAGACAGAGGATGAGCGAGTGGAGCGCCAGCTGATGAGACCACTACCAAAAGTAAAACCATAACCCTGAGACGAGCAGCGATCAGGGCGAGAGTCAGCGTAGGAAGAGTCACTGTAGCTGGAGAGAACGGGAGGAACAGAGCCACCAAGAGTGAGAGCAAGGTCAGAGGTGGCACGCAGATAGAACAGGACGTGCTTAGCAGCCGCCTAGTGCACGTCAGTGTGGCGGCCTAGACCGACAAAGCGAGAGAGAACACTGAGGGGGTAAGCAAGGTCGGGGCGAGTGCACATCATAGCATACATAAGAGACCCAACAAGCTCAGTATAAGGCCGCAGCTCAGAGGAGGGAGCAGGGATGGCAGGGGCAGTGAGCTGATGGTTAGCGGGAAGAGGGGTGGAGACCGGCTTGGCCTGCGACATCTCGAATCGTTGGAGGATGGATTGGATGTAGAAAGACTGGGAGAGAGAGAAGGTGCGGGCAGCACGATCACGACGGATCTCCATGCCGAGGTAGTGACAAAGCTCGCCAAGATCCTTGCACAGGACACGCGCCTGCAGGGCTTTCTTGACAGCAGCAAGATCGGCGGAGTCCTCAGCAAGCAGCACCAAATTGTCCACGTAGGCAAGAATGTAGAGCCTATGGGAGGAAGTGCGAATGAAAAGACTGGGGTCAGAGTTGGAGGTAGAGAAGCCGAGAGAGTGAAGGGTGGAGGTGAGCTTGGCGTGCCACTCGCGCGGGGCCTGTTTAAGGCCATACACAGGTCGCTTTAATTCCCAAATAGTGCTTGGAGGGAAAGGGTGAGGAAAGCCAGCAGGACGCTCAAGGAATATGCGCTCATGCAGCTCGCCCTGAAGGAAAGCATTGGAAACGTCCATGGAATGGATCTCCCAATTCCAGCGAGCACCTAAGCCAAGAAGGAGGCGGAGAATGGAGAGGCGGAAAGTGGGGAGACGGGCTGTGGGGGAGTAAGTGGCAAAGTAGTCAATGCCTTCACGCTGAGTGAAGCCCTTGGCACAGTAGTGGGCTTTGAAGATAGGAAGTTCGCCGGGCAGCTGCTTCATACGGAAGACCCATTTGCCCTTGACAATGGTGGCGCCAGGGGGGGGGACAGAGTCAATGTAGGAATTAATTCTGGTAAATGCCCCACACTCAGCAATGATGGCAGCCATCCACTCAGTGGCATGGAAGCCCGACACGGCCTCGGAGTAGGACTGAGGGGTGGGAATGGCAGTGGTGTTAATAGAGAAGAGTGGGAGAATTGCTAAAGTCACCGATAGTGACACAAAGGAGAGGAGAAACAGGATGAATGGTGAAGAGCTCCTCAAAGCGATCTTCAAGAAGATTCACATCCTGGGATGGAGATAGACGAGTGAAAAGAGCAGAGTGCTGAAAACTAGAAAGGGCGCGAGTCATGGAGCGAGTAAGGCGCGGGGAAGGGGGGGGGATGGGAACGGGCGAAGGGGGTTGAGAGGAAGATGGAGTTGAGGAAGGGAGGGGAGCCGAAGAATAAGAGGCGGGTGGGGAGGCGCCATAGATGATGTCGGAAGGGGGGGCAGTAGAGGCTGGTGCGGGGGGAGGGGCGGGAAGAGGCGGGATAGGAGGGGGGGGAGGAGGGGAGGGGAGGACAGACGACGACTGATCGAAATCAGACCAGTGAAGAGAAGGGACAGGAGGGGCGGGTGAGGGAGAATGGAATGGAGAGTGGGTCTCATCGAAAATGACGTCCTGGCTACAGATGAGTTGGTGAGAGGAGGGGGCATAGAAAAGATAACCAGCACAATCAAAGTTGATGCCAAGGAATGCACAGAGTTGCGTCTTGGGAGCGAGCTTTCCACCCTGACGAGATCGGTCTGCTGGATTTGCAAGAACATGGGCGACACACCCCCATACCCAAAGAGGGCGAACAGAGGGCTGGCGGCCAGTCCAAAGCTAGAAGGGGTGGTAGTGGGGCGAAGAGGATGAGGGCAGAGGTTAGAGAGTAAAGTGAAATGGGGAAGAGCATAGCTCCAAAGAGAGTGGCGAGCAGAGGCATGGGTGAGAAGGCATCGAGTAATTTCTATGAGAGTACGATTGCGATGCTCAGCAACCCCATTCTTCTCTGGGGAGTGAGGAAGAGTGGAGGTCTGGCGAATGCCATGAGAGGCACAAAAAGAGGAGAGAGAGTGATTGAAGTATTCGCCACCACCATCGGAATGGAAGCGCGCGACAGGACTCTTAAAACGTAGACGAGCCTGCTCAGCCCAGCGAATGATGAGGGAGGGAGCGTCAGATTCGGCACGGAGGGGATAGATAGTTGCAAAGCGTGAGTGGTCATCAACCAAAAGCAGAAAATATCGATGACCCTGACAAGAAGCAGTAGGTGAGGGACCCCAGAGGTCCATATGAACAAGGTCAAGGGGTTGGGAAGAGGCAGAGGGAGAAGAGGGATGAGGTGACTGGGAGAGTTGGACCTGGACACATGGGGTGGATGGAGGAGCAGGAGAGGGAGGAAGGGGGGGGAGAGAGGAAGGGAGGCCATGAAGAAGCTTAGAAGAGACCATACTGCAAAGAAGGGGAAAGTTGGGGTGGCCAAGTCGATGATGGAGAAGGGTAGGTTGAGTAAGAGAGCAACAGTCGCAGGAGGGAACGGGAGGGGCGGAAGCGGAAGAGGCATGATGGGCAGAAGGGGGAAGAGAGACACGAAGAGTGTAGAGCCGAGTGATAGGAGAAAGAGTGAAGCGTGCAAGATGGCGGTTGCAGTGATAGAGATCACAGTAGGAGTCACATTCAGGAAAGATAGCTCGCACACAAAGACGTTGAAGAGCAGAGAGAGAAAGAAGGTTGTGGCGGTAGGAAGGAACATAGAGGCCAGTCATAGCACCAGAGGGGGAGGCAGGACAGGGAAGAGAAGAGGTAGCGGTGCAAGTCATGGTCATGGTATCCCCAGCCCCTTGAGTGGAGAGGGATGGGGAAAAGAGCGAAGCACACCAGCATCACGAAAGACAGTCAGTAACACCACTGTCAAGAACAAACTCAAGAGTGTGAGGGAGGGAAAGAGCAGCAGCTGTGGGACCAAGATACTGAGAATCATTGCCATTAATAGAAGGAGCAAACATCATGGCAAAACGAGGGTCCATAAGGGGAGAAGTCCCCAGAATGCTATCCTGACTAGGCATAGTCACACTGAGAGCAGAGGTCTGAGCACCTGCACCAGAGTCGGCGGCCGCAAGGACCGCCCGGGCAGAGGACTGGCAACGCTGACGAGAGAGTTGGAGCCAGTTGGGAGGGCGACCAGTGTTGCTAGCTAGGAACCATTCGTCGGTGAGCTTCTGGAAGCAGCAGAAGGTGGGATGATTGGTGCAACCGCAGGGCTGACCCTTGCGGGGCTCCTGTCAAATGATGTAGGTGCAAGGAGGAAAGGTGTTGCGAGGGCGAGAGGAAGCGGCGGCGGCAGTGGTGGTGGAGAGAGGAAGAAGGGCAGAAGAGGGTGTGACAGCAGCGACAGTAGGAGGGCAGCTGCGGAGGTTGAGCTCTACCTGGAGGAGGAAGGCAGAGACATGGGAGAACGACCACTGGTCGGCGGGGCGCTCACCACTGTATTCAGGAGTGAGGCCTGTGAGGAGGAGGGCACCGCAGACATGATCGGAAAGTTCAAACTGTTGAGTGGAAAGTTGGGAGGACAGCGTCTGCACACGAGCGATGTAGTCTGCCATGGTGGTGAAGTCAGCAAGACGTATAGAGGTGAGCTCGCGTAAGAGGGCAATGACGCTGATGGGAGTCTGTGACTGAAAGCGCTCGGTGAGATAGCCGAGAAGGTCCTTGGCATAGCAGATGTGCGAGCACTGAGGGAGAAGAGTTGGAGGGAGGCAGACAAGGATGACCTGACAGGCACGTGCGTTGGCAAAATGCCAGTCAGCGAGAAGGTCAGAGTGAGATGGAGCAGAGGAAAGGGGCGTAGAGGCAGAGCGAGGAGAAGGGGCAGCGAGGAGAAGGGGCAGCGAGGTGCTCAGTGAGGCGCTTGCGGGTGCTCTCGAGGGACTCAGTAAGAATACGAGCTAAGTCACGGGCAGCACCATTCTCAGGAGCATCCGTGGCGGTGGCTTGCGCCGTGGCCACAAGCCGCTCAGTTTCAGCAATGGCAACACGGAGGCCATCAGCATAGGGGTCAGAGGAGGAAGAGGTGGGTGCAGAGGGAGAGGTAGGAATGGCGACAGAACCACTCTGCTGAGTGAGAAACCAGAGGTTAAAGCCACTCACTAGGGTGCCAGATAGTGTGCGCTCAAGACAGTTCAGCCAACTGGGGAAGTTGACTGCACTGCCATCGGGCGCAAGCTGAAGGACCAACAGAGGGAGGGAGGGGAGGGCGAGAGAGGTCGCCATGAGGAGGAGGAAACAGCTGCAGAGCAGATGTGGGGAGAGCTATAAGAAGCGGAGGAATAAGGGCGGGGTAGTCTGCTGCTGAGCCGCTGAGGGGAGAAACAAGAGGAGGAGGGAACGTGGCGGAGTAGTCTGTTGCTGAGCCGATCCGGGGAGAAACCAGAGGAGGAGGGAAAAATGTCAAAGTAGTCTGCTGCTGAGCCGATGAGGGGAGAAACCAGAGGAGGGAAAATGGCAGAGTAGTCTGCTGCTGCGCCGATGAGGGGAGAAACCAGAGGAGGAGGGAAAATGGCAGAGTAGTCTGCTGCTGCGCCGATGAGGGGAGAAACCAGAGGAGGAGGGATAGCGGCGGAGAAGTCTGTTGCTGTGCCGCTGAAGGGAGAAACAAGAGGAGGAGGGAGAAGTGTGATAAGTTTGCAGTTGAGTAGTTGAGAGGAGGATGTTGAGGAGGGAAGGTGTGGAGGAACAACATCTACGCAATACAATCAGCTACCAGCTGCAGCAGATGAAGAGATGAAAGAGGTGGAGAAAGGGTGAGATAGTGGAGAGGGAACTAGTGGGAGAGAGGAGAGGAGGAGGAGGGTGAAGGGGCGGATTGTGGGAAGGGCAGGGCGCGCCACACGGAGCTGCGAGCCGCAGCAGATGGGGAGAGAAAATAGGAGGAGGAAGAGGTGAGGTAGTGGGGGGAAGCACAAAGGAGAGAGGGAAGGAGGAGGAGGGTGAGGGAAGGGGCGGATTGAGGAAGGGCAGGGCGCGCCGCAAGGAAGGGCAGGCGCGCGCGCTGCTGGACGGTGCTTAGCGCGCGCGGCAGCGGGAGCGCAATGTGTGCGCGACGGGACGGGGAAGGGGGGGGGGGGGACGGCAGAGCGCGCTTTGGGCGAAAATGGGCGCGTGACCGCCAGAAACGGGAGGAGAAGGAGGTGAGGGAGGGTGATAAGGGCGGCATGGCGACGCGCTACAGACTGGATTGAGGGATTCGCGAGACTATAATGTGACAAAAAATGCAATTTTTAAGAGTGATGGGAAAGAAAGGAGATAATAATAAAAAAACAAGTCTAGCTAAGTAGCGCGGAAATGGCCTTAGGGCCAAAGATTATTTGAGAAATACGGATAAATATGAAACGCCTAGGACTACGGTCTGAATACCACGTTAAGATGAGAGGAGCCATAGATGGCGAGAGAGTTAGGTAGGGTTGAAAAAGTTGCACGAGGAAGAAAATGTCGAGGTACAAAAGAAAGAGGATTGGAAACCCTAAATGAACCTAGGGTGTGATTGGTTTGTACTAAGAACTACGAAATGAAACTAAAATGAACCTAAATGCGTAACTCTCTGTAAAGATGGAGAATTAATACAAGAACACCAAAATAAAGACCAGAGCGAGCTCTAGCCTACTCCAACAAGTAGGTGAGACAGGTTCAAGTTGCGCGTGTCGAGAAGCACCTGATCTCCGACTACTACTGAGCTATCACATCGTTGATGATCGGCATACTGCTTCTGGGAGTACTGCATCGTGGTGAGACAACGTTGAGTCTTCTCCCATAGCTGTTGCATGGTGGTGATGAAGTCATGTGCGGCTTGGACGTGTGCCGGTGTGGTTGGCTGCTGTGGTGTAAGAGGTTCCCGTTCGTAACACAGGAAGAAAGGAGTTTTCCCTTTGGCTGCATGTGACGCATTGTTGTAAGCGAACTCTAAGGTCAGTAACTGTGTGTCCCAGTGGCTGACGTCGTCTTTGCAAGCTGTGCGCAATAACTGTTCAACCACCTGTTTGGGTCACTCTCTCTGGCCGTCAGTCTGGGGGTGGTATGCAGAAGAAATTGCAAGCTTAGTCCCCAACAATTGTACTAGGAACATTGGTGGTACAAGTAGGAAACCCTAGAGTATTGTACCCCCTAAAGGCTAACCCACTGTCGCCTACACAACAATAACATATATAATGTTTGACACACCCCCATAGGCTAAGTAGGGTAGAGCAAGGAGTCACAAGATCAGTCAAGAAAGAAAACGCAAGCTCAGGGTGGATCACAAAGTCACCACACACACTGAGCACAAGCAAAGGGCTACAAGGCCAGTTCACATGCAGAGGCATATATGCAACACAAACATCACAGTGATCTCTACCTAGCAATGCAAGCATGCAGATATATATATATATATAGATCACAGTACAGACAAAGTCTACAACAAGTGAGGAAAAGTGGGCACAAGCCCTAACAAAGTACTGAAACGCTGATGATCACCAGACTGAAGTGCCTTGGTGAATATATCAGCAGTGTTGGCTTGAGTGGCTACGTAACGCAGACGAAGCTGACCACGCTATTGCAACTCTCAAGCCAGGAAGTAACGTAGAGCGATGTGCTTCGTTCTGTGCTCCAGTCTGTGCTCCTCACACAAGGCAATGGCAGCCTTGTTGTCGACGTACAGCACTGGAGGAGAACGGGGCCGCTCTCCCAGGTCGGTCAGCAGGTAGGTGAGCCAGCGTAACTCCTGTGCAGCCATGGCTGTGGCGTAGATCTCAGCCTCACAACTGGAGCTGAGAACTGAAGACGAACGTGTAGAACGCCACGAAACTGAGCCAGAGCCAAGACTGAATGTGTAACCCTGTGAGGACCGCTGAGTAGCCTGGTCGTCGACGTACACGCGGATGTAGAACGGCGGTAGCGAAGTGTCGGTGCGCAGAAACAGCGACGGGTCAGCAGTAGAAGGCGCGAACCCAAGAGCTGCAAGAGTAGTCCTCAGTGTGTCGTCCCACTCACGTGGCGCCTGGCGGAGACCGTAGACCGGCCGCCGGAGGCTCCACTGGGTACCAGAAGGAAACGACCCAGTGAAGCCAGGAGGGCGGCGCAGCCAGGTCTCCTCGTGCAGGCTGCCCTGCAAGAAAGCTGTGCTAAAGTCAAGAGAGTGAAGCTCGTAGTCACGCTGAGCAGCAACGTGCAGTAGCACCCGAAGAGTGGTCATCTTTGGGGTGGGGGAGAAGGTCTGGAAGAAGTCTACTCCCTCTCGCTGACTGAAGCCTCGAGCAACGTAACGAGCCTTGAAGAGAGGGACAAAGCCAAGAAAGACGCAGGGAACGGCACGGGAGGAGAGCTTGTCCGCGGACGTATCGCGGACAAAGGCTCGACATCCCCAGACTCGGAACACCGACGCATCGCCAACCTTCCCCGTCCAACGCAGTGTGGGCGAGGTCTCCGGAGCAGAGACACGGGGCCAGAGGTTGAGCTGATGCGCAGCGTACTGAACTGCAAACGGCCACAGAAAATGGGGGGCAGCCGCATGGATCATGGAGGTACGAGCGACCTCCATGACTAAGCCAATGCGGCGCTCAGCAACCCCATTCTGCTTAGGAGAGGCCGGAAGCGTGAACGTCTGACGGATGCCGTGCTTCGCACAGAAGGCTGCCAAGAGGTCGGAGGAGAACTCACCACCTCTATCAGAGTGCAGACGCAGGACTGGAAAGTCCGACTGGAACCGCTCGCGGAGCTGGAGACGAGCAGCGCGGATCCAAGGGATCAAAACATCAGGGACCTCTCCCTTGGTGCGCAAGGGGAAGACCGTGGTGTAGCGCGTGTAGTCGTCGACGACCAGCAGGAAGTACCGCTCGTGGCCCTGTCCACGGACGCGGGCTGGGCCCCACACGTCCAGGTGGAGAGTCTGCAGAGGAGCCTCTGTGGGAGGGAACGAGGAGGAGTGAGGAGTGGCGCGCTGCCGCCCCTCGACACAGGGAAGACAGGGAGGAGCAGGCGAGGGTGGGAGAGGAGGGATAACCCTGGGAAGACCAGAGACATGTTGGTGCAACCCTACGGTTTGCACTCGGCTTGTTGTCCGTGTGCGTGCATGCGTGTGTGCATGGAATGGAATGAGTGCATGAAATAAATATATATTTCATGCTCATAATATTGTGTGTATGATGGGTCATGATGTCGAGTGTGTGTGTGTCAAGTCTATAGCGAATTATCGCTAGTCGCGTGTAACGCGATCATTTTGTGTGTCCCGCGCGGTCTATTTTGTCGTGCGCGGTTTCTATTTTGTCGCTTGTCGAACGTTCGGCGTGTCGCAGGTGTGTGCAGCAGACCCATCAAGAACTCGAGGATGAGTTTGTGATGAAGAACCCGAGCCTTGGTTGCAAGCTTCAAGAGATTTCGAAGCTCGCCAAAAGGGTACACCTCAAGATAGTGAAGATAGTTACATTACTTTGTGTAGTGTAACATTTCAGTTGGTGTAGGCCCTTGTGAAGGGCAGTTTCGAGACCCTTGGTGTTTGGGGACAGTGTGGCACTGTTCCACATCACTGTACCTCGGCTCTTGGGGTTTCTAGGAGCTGGGAGTCATTCCCAACTCGTAACCCTTGCTAACTCTTCCTAAGTTGTGTTCTAAGACTATGTTGCTGCCATAGTGCCGTTCGTTCAAACCGACAGTGTGTCGTCAATTCTTGATGAAATCGTGTAGGCAACGTGAAGGCGCTCCAGATCCAAGTTGAATGAAGTTGTGAGCAGATCGCTATGAACGTTTAAAGTCGCTGTTACGAAATCCGACTGTGCACTCTATCTTTCGTTTTAGGCACATTGAAGCCTAGTGTGGCTATAACAAGTGGTATCAGAGCCCCTTGGAGCAGCTACGACAATGGCTGGACCTGAGGAAAGGGGTGGCAGAGGTGCTGGAGGCAATGGAGAAGCCCAAGCACAAGGCCAAGCCCGTGATTCAGCCGTGGCGCCCGTGCAACCTACTCTTGGACCTTCTAGGGATGAACCAAGAGTGTTCGGGCTTGACAAGTTCAACGGCGACAACTTTGCTGAATGGTCCTTCAGAATGGAGAATGTGTTCGACCATTATGACCTGCTGGAGGTGATGGAAGGAACGGAGAAGCGTCCCGAGAACGACCCGGAGAAATGCCCGTGGGTGCGGAAGAGCGCACAAGGCTATCTCCTACTTGGGCAAGCGTTGGGGAGCAGTCAAATCCGTCACATCAAGCCTTTCCATTGTGATCCAGAGAAGGGACAAAAGGCATGGGCTGCTCTCAAGGGTGTACACGCTCCTGCAACAGCGGCGGTAGCTGTGGTGTTGGAACGGCAAATGGCGACGCTACGAATTGAGGAAGATGAACCCGTGGAAGACGGGGTGCAGAAATTCTTCGACTTGTTGACGCGGCTTGAGGGAGCTGATTTGAACTACAGTGAGCTCCAGAAGAAGACCAAGTTGCTGGCCCTACTCCCTGAGTCGTGGTCTTTGCTCATCATCAACTTGAATCGCGACTTGCCCCGCCTCTCGCTTGAAGACGTGAAGCGAGCAATCCTACAAGAGGATTTCCGCTGCCGTGAGTTGGCGAGTGCGGATGGCGCTGGGGCAGCGAGCGTCGGCCGTGGATATGGCCGAGGAAGAGGCAGAGGACGAGGGGGAGGAAGGTTTGGAGGCAGCAACTTCGGTGGAGGCCGTGGAAGTGGCGGTTACGACAGCGACGACAAGAGCTACGGTCGCGGTCGCGGGCGATTTGACGGTGAATGCCATTATTGCCACAAGACCGGACACATGTGGCGCGATTGCTACAAGCTCCCAGATGGATGGACCCCTGCTCAAGGCCAAGAGGGTAGAGGAGCAGGAGGAGGGAGAGGAAGAGGCCGTGGAGGCCATGGCGGTCGCGGAGGTGGAGCCGCAAACATGAAGAGTGGAGACAACGACAAGGACCCGAGCGACGATCGGTACCCGGGTCTATTCTACTTTGTGTCGACGCAAGTACCAGCCGGTCCTGAGAAGGATGAAGACCTTGAGGAGCCAGCAGCTGTGGGGAAGGTGACCCTACACCCCCTGGACTATTGGGTGATTGACAGCGGCGCTACCTATAGCATGACACCTCGCCCCGACTTGCTCACCGAACTCGAGCCGTCACCGGTGAAGCATGTCACATCGGCTTTGGGGCAGCGAGCACAGGTGAAAGGCATGGGCAAGGCCATGTTC